TGATGTGTACGCTTCCACAATTGGGTAGATTTGCCCTTTAGATGATTACTTGCTCCTCGAATATAACACTTTCTCTTAATACTTTTGCTCCCATATTATCTGAGCATATCTCGGCCCAAACACGTACCTTAAGACAAAAGTTATAATATGGTTATGAAATTGTGAAGTGCAATGCATAAAGAGGAAAGGGAGTGGTCATTTTTACAATTGTAGCTCCTATAGTTTTCAAAATGTCAATGTGCTGACTCAATGACAGAAAATGAATAGATAGAAAACTGAGACCAAGCTACAACTAGTGGCATAATTTTGCTAAGCATTTTCTATTGCGAAGAAAACTTGGCTTTACTACTTTAACTTGCTATCTAAATATGGAAAAATTATCATACCTAACAAGGGATTTTTTTGGTAGTGAAAATGTAAGAACCCGCACCGTTAATTAAGAAAGTTAATTAATTAATTATGTGAAATTAGGAAATGATTCCATAATTGACCCTAATAATTATGATAAGTCTTAAATAATTATAGGAAATAATTAATAATGTTGAAAGTCGCTTTTCTGACGAAAAGTGCAGATATCGGTTCTGCTACTCGGTATAAATGCGTACCGATGAAGTATCCCATAAAATTATAAAAAGTGTGTATATGTCACTAGAATAATATATAGGACTTGTAAAACAAGTTTCAAGTTAAAATAATGAGAACTGGTGCCAGAACTGATACTGGCTATGTAAAAGCGCGCACCGGAAATGTGCTGCAAAAAATAAAATAAAAATATGATAAATCCTGGAAATATGAGTAGGATCAGATTCCAAAGTTTGGGATTAAAATGCTAAGTGTAGCTATTATTGCTAATACTGTGTGTTTAATTTTAAGTGAGCTATAAATACTCACTTTGGCCCAAAACCCTAGGCCATATTCTTATCCTACGTGAGTCTCTTGCTGAAGCTCTCAGTCAGCCACCCTCTCCTCCTTTCAAACTTGAGTTTTCCCCATAGAAACTCCCCAAGGTCTCACCTTTTCTTTGACTCTTCCTCCTTGAAGTTGTAAACACTGTTTTGTTAAGCATTGTGAGGGAGTGTGGTGTAGCCTTCTATGTGTGAGCTGCTGTCTTTGGGGTGGTTTGTGGGCTGAGTTGTTGAGTCTTTTGGAGGAAGCCTTTTCTTGCCATTGGAGGCTTCAAGAAGCCATTTTGATGGTGAAAGGTCAAAGCTTGTTGTTGATTTTCGTAGTCTTGTTGTGGCTGAACCTTGGTGCTGTGTAGAGGACCCCTTTTGTGTCTCATTTTCAGAGTTTTGGAGCCTTAGAGGTATTCATGATCACCTCTTTGTCATTTTGATGATTTAAGCTTGTTTAATCGGTTAAAAAGCAAAACTTGGATCATTTAAGTAAAGGAATATGTTTCTGAGTTCATAACATGCTTATGAACATCTGTTTAGGGAGTCATTAGACTCCCAATCGCGTTTGGACCCTTAAAATTGGGATTATACAGAAGTCTGTTCGAATTTCTGCATTCTGTTGGAGAAGTATTCGAATACTTTTCGTGTAGTATTCGAATACTTGTCCACTGGTAATCGAATACTCCTTGCTGGAGTATTGGGATACTTTTCTGGGAAGAAAAGTATTCAGATACCTTTGAAGAAGTATTCGAATACTGGAGAGTATTCGAATACAGTGAGTTTTGGTATTCGGATACTGTGGTATTCGGATACTTGGGGTGTTGGTATTCGAATACCTTGTGGTATTCGAATACTTTAGTGAAAGTAATCGAATACTTTCTGGAGAGCTGGAGTATTCGAATACTAATCGTGTAGTATTCGAATACCTCCTGCAGAAATAACATGAAATGACTTAAAATGAGATGAAAAGCCTTAATCACTTAATGTAACCTTGAGTAATGGTTATTGAAGATTAATTACTGTATAAACAGATTGTGATTGTGCTGTTTGTGGGCTTGATCTAGTGTGAGGTCTTGCTTTGGACGTATTGCTTAAGAGGTAAGCTTTCGTGTCCTCGGTTTAGCCATTGTTGGTTCCACCATGTCCCATGGGGGGATGGTTATATGCATGATGTTGTTTTCAAGATATACTGATTTATTGAAATGCTTTTGAGCTGTTATATGCGAGTGCCTTTATGATATGCATGTGGTGTTCGCCTAGACGGGTTGTGATCCTGTGGGCAGGTACGGCATGGACGCGTACTGTGTGGGTAATAGACGTATTCCTACACTTCTTTGGCCAGTAGAATAGTGATAACACACATGTCATGATTATCTGTTGCACTGCATTGAGTTTTGAAACTTATATTGTTAAACTGTTTTTAGAAGTCATATTGCAAATGTAAGTGAGCTTGGAGTGGAAGATCCTTGAGGACCCCTTGTCTTACTGAGATTTCTGTTTAGAGATCTCACCCCACATTTGGGGCACCATTTCAGGTTCAGGTATTGCGGGGGTTGAGACCTCCAGCGGCAGGAGGCCGGAGCGTAGCTGATATTGCTGTTTATATGCTGACATGTTTGGATGCTGGGTTATATCTACTGATGTTATGCTATTAGTTTGTTATTATTATGTTGCTGTTGTTGAGACTATGTTTGGCTGTGTTGCCTTATTTGGTGAGCATGGGGATTGTCCATGCCACATTGATTTGACTATGTCTTGTTTTAGATTCGAGTTGTAATAATGTATCAGGATTATGTCTGGACTACGTGTTGTAGTTCCGTGATTTTAGATACTCACTGTTATTTATATTATGAGGTATTTTAGTTAGCTGTCTTTTGCAATTACCTACAGGCGATGTTTTATGAAAATTGATTAAGTAATCAACTTGGCTAAGAATAATGACGTCATAATTGAACGGAAAAAGATATTCCGCATTTTTAATTAAGCGTGGCTTAATATGATGACATGTTAACAAACCGAGTATACACAGGGTGTTACAGAAAATCTGAACAAGAACTTAACTTAAATATCGATAAAAGTCTAATAGAAAAAAAAGAGAGAGGACCTTTTATTGAGTCAACCTTGATTATCAATGAATCTTAGTTACCGTAATGGAATGTAGAATCTAACAATTCTTGATCCCCAACCCCGTGCAAAGCACGGGAGAAACAGAAACTGAAAATTTTGTAAACGTGCTTAAAAAATTGTAATGAATGTATCATGTCTAGAGCATGAGCTTTTATAAACAATTCTCAAGAATCAAAGTTATTATTGCCTAAAATGTAATCAACATAATGGAGTGTGTTGCTTGATTAACGTGATGCAGCAAAATCTTAGGTTCAATTAGACAAAGATGTCAATATGTAGAAATTAAGCTTGACTTGTAAAACTTTTGAATCTCATAATCCGCATGAACAATTATAGGGATTTGTTTCCACTCTTCTTCTACTCTGTCTTATCTACCATACACAAATACTGTAAAAAAGAATAATCGAGTTCTAAAGTGTCAAGTACAACCATTATTATATTTATTTAAGTCATAAGGCATATAACTTTAAGTTAATTAAGGTTAAGGAATTTAAATAACTTACATAATCTGATTTTGAATTTTATAAATAGACATATTTTGCTATCCTTGTCAAAAATAAAGAAAACTACTATGGTATAAGAAATGACATGAATATTATATTTATCTTATTTAATCTATCACCTTAATTGTATTTTTCTTCCTTAATCCTAATCTATCATTTCATGACTACAAAACCCGAATCAGTTAAATTGTTTGAAATTGTAACGGGAGTTGATGTTGAGTATTTCTCATACTTCGCATACTGATGAGGACAAACATTATTAGAGCTGAGATGCTTTGTGGTGCTGATTGGGGAGGTGACATTGCTAGTAGAAGGTCTACAAGTGGATATGTTGTTTCCTCATTCGACGGAACTATCAATTGGATGAGTAAGAGGTAGAGTACTATTGCTTTATCTACTACAGAGGCTGAGTACATGGCCTTGACACATGCTGTCAAGGAAGCTATTTGGTTACGGAGGTTGTGCAAAGAGCTTGGCTTTGCACAAGAAGAGATAACCGTTGGGTGAGATAGTCAAAACGCCATTTTCTTGACTAAAAACCCCAGGTTTCCATGCGAGGACCAAACATATCAGCATATAGTACCATTTCATCATAGAGAATACTGAAGACAAGGTTGTATTGTTGAAGAAGGTTCAACAATGCTGATTTTCTGATCAAGGCAGTGACTTTAGAAAAGTTTGAATGGTGTACAGTTGCATTAGGTTGAAGAAACATTCGAAGCATTCACCAAATGAGAAAGTGTTGAGTATGACTCATACTTCGCATACTGATAAAGACCCTTGTTGACGGGGTTAGCAAAAAAACAACTGGGATCCCACTTCCATGCGTGAGTCTGGGGGAGCCGCCTGGCGAGGGGGCAGCTCCCCTGGCCCCGTAAAGGCCTGATGCTGTTGTGAGCCTCTGACTTATTGTAAATTTATTTTTCTTAGTAATTTAGGTTTGGATCCATTAATAGTTATTAGGGTTTTCTAAATTCTAATTATATTCACTTGTAAATCGAGTGACTTGTAACGAGTGACAATAAGGTGAATATAATACAGACAAACTGGATATAATCTACATCAAGTGAAATAGGACAAATTACCGTATCAACTTCATCACTTGTTCTTTTTTTCATTTTCGATTTGTGTACTGTGCGATTATCGATTTCGCACAATTGACATCATATAAACTCACATGATTTCTTTATGGCTACTGAATTTATCAATTACTCGTGGACAATAACTCTCAAATAAGGACTAACAAGAAATTTTCATTTTTTAGACAAAGTGACAAATATATAATCTTACTGTTTTTTCTCTCCGAAACATTTAACATTATGTCATGTGATGATTTATTTTCATTAAAATTTAAGGACAATTTGCACACTAGGGGCTGCCAATAATTAGTCATAACAGATTAATAAGGTGGAATGGGTCACAATTATTAGTTTGAACAAAAAATATTATTGGACTAGAAGGTCAAAGTGGGTTTTGTAATTTCTCCTTAAAATAAATATGACAATTTTAATTCGTAATAGCACAAGAAATAAATACACCATTTATTTATATCAGCATTTCGAATGACTTCATCTTGAAGGGAGTAAATAGAAGTCTAATGAGTTTTGGCTTCCTAGTAATTAAAGATTAGCTGCTTCCAGTTTATTTCCTCCATGCTTTATAGCAGCAGCATTCTCACATATAACACGGTGATGGTACATGTTGAATTGGCTGAGCTTGTTCAAATGAATGTAATTAAAAAGATGGTGTCAGTAAATGCTCTGAATTATGAAAATGAAAACAGAGAGAAAAAAAGTACTTGATACCTAAGCATTGATTATGAGAATGTCAAATTCTGTCATATAATAGGCATAAGCACTTGTTCAAAGTTTTCAAATCCTGTACCCACCCAGAAAGCTGGTGGCCTGCATCATGATTCAAGAGTAAAAAATAGTTACCATCTCTCATGTAGCACCAGCGGAATTTATGATATGTGAAAGTACAACTGTGTTGAGTGTTTTTGTTTTTCACGATTTCAGGATTAAAGCTGAAATTATTCCATGTCCCGGATCCTCTGGTCCAGTCTAATATGGTTCCATATATCATCAACCTCAAGCAGGAGTGGAGACATGGCTCGATTTGGTTTTTCACGTGGAACTGAATTAGTAAAGCGATTCCATTTTCTTAACTGAACCGCTTTGAAAAAAAAAAAAAATTCGGTTCCTTAAAAAATTAGTTCCTAGAAATGATTCACTTCAGTTCATGATTCACTTGATTTTTTTATTTATTTTTTCATTTTCCTAGATATGATATGCAAAATCGAATCCATAAAGTGATTCATACAATCTGTAGAATTTACGAACAACTTATAGATAAAATTAGAACAACAAAAATTAACAGCCAGTAATTTAAGGTGAAAGATACCAAACCTTCAAATAGATACGCCAGTCAATTAATTAAGCAAGCCTCCCATTCAAGTGTTTCACCAGCAAACATGGGAATAATATCTCCGAATGGAAACGACAAACACTCAGGTACTCTCCAAGGAGCTTTCCTCAGTTTAATCTTTAACTTGTTTCTGGGGAGGCCATAGAAGTCAGGTCCATTAAAGCTTGTAAAAGCCTCCAGCTTGTCAAGTGTACCAGCCTAAAACATGCAACAATTTCATAAAACAAATTAAGCTAGAACTCCACCCGCTTTCAGAAGGAAGCTTGAAAAACATGAGCTTTTCCTTCTAGTGACATACCGTCACATAAGCAATTAATCATACCATAAAGCACACATGAGAAATGCATGTGAATAATTACACACAGGCTGTATTATCAGATATCACCATCACCTCTAACAAACAGAATACTTGCTTATTCTGCAAACCTTTTTTAGATAATATATTTTGTTTCTATCACAAAAAATTTAAATGCTAATTAATCTCAGAAATTCAAGCATATTCCAATTGAACAAAATGTAATCCCCCCTTTTCTGAAACCCACCCAAATGCACATTTGTGCAATAAAGACATGAACACGAAAATTGGCATATTATATTATAAACATTATAATAAAAGTGTCACCTCTTCAAAAACCTTGGCATATAGTGATAGAGCAACCAGGGAGTTGTATATGCCAGCACATCCACATGAACATTCCTTTTTACGCCTATCATGTGGAGCACTATCGGTTCCAAGGAAAAATCGTTTACTTCCACCAGTGACAGCTGAAACAATAGCCTGTCCTAGAAAAGAAATAAACAAAATGAGCTCTAAGGTAAGATGACCAAGATATGTACAGTTTGGTAACACAATTGTTTAAAAGATAATCCTTGTCCCTAGTGACGTTTTCTCAACCTAACCTAGGGATAAGTAGTCTATAAAGTCTGAAAATCTTCAATAGGACCGCGTGCTCTCTGCAGAAAAATTAAAATTTACAAAAGCATTCTGATTTTCCAATCTGCAAAGACCATTCAATTCACTGCAAAACATATTTATCTTATCCCACACAAGTCAGATCATTCAGATCTGTTTAATTTACTTAGGACAATGTAACAAGCAAATTATACAATTCATACCTTTAAATTATTACTTCAATTTTTTTTTTTTTTTTGACATAATCATTATTTCAATTTCTTAACCAAAAAGTCTGATGTAACACCTAGAAGATGGTGAAACTTTCTGGACAGTATGGGAAGAAAAACAAAGTCACATACTATGGATCTCTCTTTTGAGCACTGGAAGACAGTAATTGTGAGGCTGTAAGCCACCTTGAAACAAAGCATTACGATTGAGAAGAAGATGCTGTGGTGTAACAGTTGCTCCTACGTAACCTTACAAATATAGCAAATTGTGAGAACGATTTTACAACTAAATAGTACAATACAATGATACAAAAGCTCTTCCAAGTAATTTATTACAATACCTTCTTTGCAAGACTCTACAAATTTAACAGCATCCATGGTAGTAACATGCTCCATCACAACCTTCAGCTGTGGAAGCCTTTGAATCAAAGGCTCTAAAATTGTTTCAATGAATACCTTTTCCCGGTCAAAAATATCAACTTTTGGATTTGTAACCTCTCCATGAACCTGTAATGCATATTAATCCACACATAAGAAAGTACGAATGTAAACTTTTGAGTACTTTATATATAAATAAAAGACATGCATAAAACAGGAAATGGGTCACTGGCCACACTTGGCTCGCCATAAGCACCAATCAGCTCAAAGTTAAGTATTGGAGAGTTAGTAGATATTTTCATTGTGGACATGCTCTGAAATTGGTGCCCGAAATATTAAATTCTATTACAAAGCCATAATAATTAATTTATGAACAATGTGACTAGTCAGAACTGATTTTGAATCAAGAATCTTCAATCAGGGCAAGCATAGAAGCATAAAGCATGAAATACATTTTTATACATCAGTACAAGAACATTAAACATAGTCACACTTACACACACAAAAGAAAAAAAATTGGGGAGGGCAGAGAGAATATAAAGAAAGAAACAAAACAGAGCCATAAATAAAAATGAAAACTTTTGAATTACCAATAATGGTAAGTCTTGCTCAACCATTTCCTTTAGAACAGAAAAACATTTTCCAAAAAGATCAGTAACACCATCTTGGGAGTTTGTTGTGGCACCAGCAGGATACAACTTCACACCATAAATAAGTCCACTTCTTTCTGTCAATGCAAGTAGCATCATCAAGTAGTGTATTATGATTATTAGGGGGAAAAAGAAGCCAAAGCTGGATGAGCACGGAGGTTAATCTAACCAAATGATAAATGACCACTGTTATACATGTTACTATGTTAGACAATTACATTGCAACAAATATAAGACTGACCAATGTAAGGTAAAAGCTATAAGGTAAAGGAAAATAACAGAAACTTCATTTTAACCAGATTCAGAGCAAAAGTTCATATATAAAAATAAACGCTAAATTAAACTTGCTGACACTGTTTTGGAACTTTTTTATTTTTCATATGTCAAAGGTAAATATTCTTTAAATTTGTGTACCCACTGATTAGACTTACTTGCAAGTTTGATCTCATCACGAGTGGTCATGTCTGTCAAGTAAAGTGTCATCAGAGGAGTGAAATTGCTATGTTTAGGTATTGCTTTCAAAATGGACTCTCGATAAGTAACAGCAGTGGCCATGGTAGTGATGGGTGGTTTCAAATTTGGCATTACTATAGCCCTTCCAAAATGCCTTGCACTGTAGGAGCAATAGTTATGAATCAGGACTCTCTTTAATGTAACTGGGACTGAAACACAGCAAACAAAATGAACACCAAACTATAAAAGATGCTGCACGCGAGTTTTCCTCACATTGACCCCACAAGAAATTAAGAAAGGCACAATATCATTGAACATTTTTCTTATTTGAAATGACCTGTGTGGGATGACAGCTTCAAGAAGGGCACCATCTCGGAGGTGAAGATGCCAATCATCAGGTTGTGTGATAGTGAGCTCCATCTTTATGCTCATGAACTTTTTCTTATTAGAACCTTAATACCTACAACAGAAGGGTAATAAAACAAAATAAGAACTAGCAGAATCACAGTGTGAGTGAGAGATAGCAAGAGATAATTTCACCCAAAAAATTTAAGAAAAAAAGGTGGTGATATCACAGTCCATACCAAATGTACATTACCCACCTTTACTCCAGTCCGCTTAACTCTTTTCAATTCAATGTCTTTCCTTATTTACATTTTTTTTTTTTTTAAAAAATGGCAAGAAAAACATTGATGCTAAGAAACTTGGCATAAAATATAGAGTTGTCAACCCCAGTCAGCCGTAGCCCACATGGGCCAGGACTAAAAAGCGCACCGGATCTTGTGGGCTAGGGCCAGGCATGGGCCTTCCAAAGCTTTAGCAACAATAAAAAAGCACTCCTATTCAGTAGCATGGACCCCATGAGTATCACAACAAATCAATAGATAGCATCCAAGGAAAGCATTTAATAGGGATCAAAACATTAACATGTATATGTTCAATGTACTCCTTTATTTTGACAAAATATTGAAATTTCAATCAGGTGAAGTACAAAAGATAGACTTAATTCCACACATTTTTTCCTCCACATTTTCACTTTTTGACAAGTCAATTAAATGAGACTATAAATTTGAACATGAAAAGCATAGCTCCCAAATGGATATTACACCATACAGCATGACAAAAGTAAGACAAAGTTTATCAAAATTCCACCACTGCACTAGTACACAACTCATGCACAACCAACTTTAATAAGAATTCCAGCTAAGGAAAGACCACCGATTCCCAAACAAAATAATGAAATATGTGTTGTCTCCAAAATCCTTAAAACATGGATCAAACAAAATTCCACCATTACAAAGAAGAGCATGTGCTCCATAATTCAATAATAAACAGGACTACTCTTTATCTGTATATCCCATAACTGGTCAGTGGTCAGAATACTGTAAATCTAAAAGTTCCTGAGCATGAGTAGATCTTATGTGAACCCATGCATCCCAGTACTGACCATTGACCAAAGCACTATCCTTAATTTCAATGACGCCTTTAGTGGCCTTAGTATACAGTTGCATCGTAGTTTGAGTAATCTTATTCATCAAATTGGGGCAATCTAACAAGATGCTCAATATTTTATTATTAGAGTTATATGTCTTCATGTAGCTCCATTCTTGTCTGAACATAATGACTCTATTCCTTGCCCCTTTGAAATAAGAATTTATAGGTTTATAAAGTTAGCATCCTAAGCAATTTCAAATCCAGAGCTAATAACCAAACTTATTTTTCTGAGATGGTCTAGTTAAGAAAGCCTTCAACATATCTTAGAAGGTTCTCGTCGAAAAAGATCCTTGAGTTACATGCAAGAAGAAAAAGATAAAATTAAGAAAATATTAGAAGCTACAGGAAAGTAATGTGGCAGTGCAATCTGCCCATATATAAGCAACCATGTGTCACTTGTAAAAAGTAGTGGGGAAGCATAGAATAACACACTTTCCTTATCATTACCTATCAAAATCTATGTTTAGAGCTCATATGGGTCACATCGAAATCGGAGATCAAATATTCAAAGTTCAAACTATGGGTCATATATTACAGCTCATATGGTTTTCTTCATGTCGTTTAGAGCTGCAATGTTTGAGAAAAGTCCATGTCATTTACCCCCTATTATCATGCATATAAGAGAAAAACAGAGTTTTTCCTTTTCCTTTTGCCTCGTGATCTCATACTACTGATAAAATCCATTTTACATTTGAACTGTCTCTTTCAAAATAACAGTCTAACTTCTAGCATCTCAATCGTGCTAAATCTTTTTTGTTTGAAAATCAATATCAACTGAAAACACTATTTTGAGTGTTCCGTCCAGTTTGATTGGCGGTGTATCCTATTCCTATTTTCCTCTTCTCCGTCTCTAATTTCCAGTAATGATATCAGAGCTACATTTGGCCACACGCTGAGAGTAACTTAAAAGATCACCATTTACCTACTGCAACAAACCAAGCTACTCTAAACAAGCCAGCCACTATAATATTAGCAAAGCCACACAGGCTTGTTCAGATGGTATTTTTGCCATTTCAAAACAGAAGAGCTAGTGAAGACTTGAGAATATCATGGATTCAAATTGAAGTAAACAGACCACATTTTATGGATAACAAAATCCAAAAGAAAAATAGGATTAACAGGAAACTAATTTAAAAACTAACACCAAACAAATGCATTAATCTGAAGTTCCAAAATGAAGTTTCCTGGAAAATACATAAAAAGTAAAAACCTTATAGTACCAAATGCCCCCTTAAAGCCACGTTTCATTACTATGTTCTCTGATATCAAACATTGCTTACATAAATATCCAGCTATTTCTTGCAAAGAAAATGCAAATTCTAACCACAATTTGTTCAAACTTCAAATCATTACTCCTTCAACTTTCTCCACATTAGTCAAAAACTAATTTTCAGTCATTCTGAACCTAACATGCTTACACTTCACAATGAAAAAAAGAAAAACCATCCAAAACCACGAAAAAAGCCAGATCAGCACAAGTTCTATTCCATTGGAGCAAAGAAGAATATTATAACCTATAAGCCAAAAACGTGATTACTAAAGTTTGTGCACTTTCCATTCACATAAAAAAATAAAAAATAAAAAATAAAAACGAAAAAAGGTGATTTCAAGAACTGCATCAGAGTAAAGAGAAGCAGAGAAGAAAAACCTGCTACAACGGACTGAGGAATATTGGATCTTACGGTTGACCGAGTGGTATCGCCGATCAGATGACGGAATCTTAACACAGTACGGAAAAGGAAGAAGCAAGCGAATTAGATATAAAACAAAATTTGTAAATGTGTGAATTTTATATGGATTAGTATCAATGCAGGATTAACGTCAGAGTATGATACTCATAAAAACTGATTTATAGATTAATTGAAGAGTAGACTTAATTTAGATAATTTTGTCCGGTGTTCATCGAAAAGACACCGTTTTGAGACGGAAATCATAGTGTTTTTATAATTTTAATTTATTTCAACGTTATAATAGTTTTTATCCTTTTAATTTTTTAATTTTTCAACCTCAACACAACGACGTTTCAATAAACATTAGACAAAGTTGTCTAAAGTAAAATAAGAAACTTTTTTCCAATAGTTTTTCTTACAAATTAAAAGTTTTACCACCTCTTTTGATTTATTTTTTTTATCGTTGATTTTTGTTGTTCAAATAATTATATTTTATTAAAATTAATAATTAATTAATAAATTTAACCTAATAATTTATAATTATTTGATTGATAGAAATTAATGGTGATAAAATAAGTCATAAGAGATTGTAAAAAAGAAGTTTGTAATAAGATGTTGTACAATTTTTAAGTATTAAGAATAACGCTTCTCTTGAATAAAACAATAAATTTTATTACTTTTTTAATGAAAAAAATATTTGTCACCTCACAATAGATAAAATTATCTATAAAACTCTGGCTTTTTGATCCTTTTGTCCTTCATTAATTAATTAATAACCAATTTGTCCCTCCCCCAGAACTATCAATCATCATGCCTCCATTTAGTCGATCAACTTGCACTTTTAATCGACTAAATAGTCAAAATTCAGAAAACATGAATCACGAGATTTAGTCGACTACATCCTCACCTTGATCGACTACATTTCAAGCACTTTTAATCGACTAAGGACATTATTTAGTCGATTAAAAGTCGCAGATCCGGTTTTTTAAAAAACCCCTATTTCGCAAAGGGGGTTATTTTCAAACCCTAGTCGATTAAGAAGGCTCCAAGAACCCCTCTCTGCAACCAAGTCCGAATCCCATCCCCTTGAAGGTCCGATTGCACCATCATTGGTTCACAACTTGCGAAATTGACATTGTAGGTAACGTTTTCTGACTTGCATTTGGTTTTAAGTTTTGGTTTTTTTTTGTTTTCTCCATGCTTTGGTTTATGTTTTTTTTTTAATTTCTTGTTTATGGTAGAAGGTTGTTTGAGTTTTTGTGGCTTTATGTTAGGAGTAGGATGTTGAGTTTGATGTGAGGGTTAGGGCTAGGGTTTATGTGTTAGGTTAGGGCTAGGGTTAGAGTTTCTGTTTTTTTGTTCGGGTTTAGGCTTAGGGTTTTTGTTTGTATGTTAGGGTTTAGGGGTGGGTTGGAGGGAGCACATCTTAGGGTTTTGGCTGAACTGTTGTGTCCATATTCAGAGCTACACGTACGGGCCTTCTACCATAACCTCAGCTATGTACAGGGTGAGCTGAGGTCGAGGGTCTGCGGGGTGGAGATCATCATGACGACTTCGGTATGGTTGGAGTTATTGGGGTATGACTTTGATTCTGCGCAGACTGTGGAATATGACGCAGATAGCAGCGTCACACTTCCAGGATATACACGAGGTGATGCCGTGCAGGAGCAGAGAAGAGTCCATGGGCAACACATGCACTATACGGTTGGGTTGCTTACTGTGGAATCCCGTATACTACACTATGTCATCACCCACATTCTGTTTCCACGAGCGTTCAATCATTCCAGGGTGTTTGAACATGACATTCCCATCATGTGGGCTATCCGACATGGTACTTTGGTGAACTGGAGGCACTACATCTGTTGGATGATGTTTAAGGCCAAACACAAGGGTGCACTTCCATTTGCTTGTCTTGTTCAGAGGATATTGGGTCACTTTGGTGTTCCCATGGGCAATGTGACCTCGAAGAAGACCACATGGTATAATTGCAAGTTTGGAAAGCGTCTACTGGAGCAGTGCAAGATGACAAAGAACATACAAACGGGTGTGTGGCAGTTCACAGGTGCGGCTGATGTTGAGGTTCCTGATGTTGCTCCACTTGCAGACATGGTTGAGCCCGAGGTGGAGGATGATGATGACGATGATGATGAGACTGACTTGCAGGATATAGCTGAGCCTGAGGGTCGGTTTTCATTGCGTGATGTCATGAAGGGCATAAACGCCACGCTAAAGAAAATAGGAAAAATGGAGCTGAAGCACAAAAAATGGAGGAAGAGTCACATCCAGAAAGGGAATGAAAGGTTTAGACACGTACAGGGAAGGTTCAAGGGTGTTGAAGATAGGCTTGCTCGTCTAGAGCTTGGACGAGGACAACAGGTTGAGGATGTTGCAGGGCAGGGGGCTGATGTGTCAGATGAGGATGACGAGGAGACAGCGTCCGAGGAGGAGGATTAGATTTAGGGTTTATGTTTTTATTTTACGTTTGTAGTGTATGTTGTTATGTAATTGACTTCGGTCTTCCTATTTGACATTTGTAGTTTATGTGGTATTATGTTTAGGGGCTGAACTATTTAATGTTATCAACTTTGTTGTTACTTATTACTTATTTATGTCATTTTCATTGTTTACCACATGAACGATCATGGTATTTTTCCATGAAATTTTTCAATTTGGGTCTAATCACAGCCCAACAGGTCTAAAATGTCTAATGCAACTCTGAACAGTCACTCATAAGAGAGTTAAATGACTTTACCAAGTTTTGGGTACCCTAAACCAATATTTAGCCAATACATGTACATATATGGTTTATAACCGCCACGATACTTTTTTGTACCCCAATTTATGTTCCCCAAGTCATAATATGCGTGTACATTAGTGTCCAATCGGTTCCATGGCAAAAAAATTCGAGGACAACAGAATGGGGTGCCAAAACTTGATCGACTACATATCAAGTTTTGGCACCCCATTCTGTTTTCCTCGAATTTTTTTGCCATGGAACCAATTGGACACTAATGTACACGCATATTATGACTTGGGGAACATAAATTGGGGTACAAAAAAGTATATGGTCCATTTGTATGCATTGTTGGGTACGTATTGATGGAAACCGTTTGTTTACGCTCCCCGAAACTTGGTGAATTCATTTTGGGGTCATATTAGTAATTGTTATGAGTTTCAATCTATCAATATGGGCCAATGTTACTAATTTGAATACAAATCAACATACAAACAACATAAAGTAACATACAGTACACATTGTAACATAAAGTTTCATAACATAATTACATGAACTAAACCATAAACACATTAGCTCCCTCCCATGGTGCTCACTAACATCAACTTCATAAATACATGCATAACATTGGTTCAACTCTGTCTAATCCTCATAGGGAATGTACGCTTATTGTGACCCATTTGCTTGCAGGTGCTACATCTACTTTGACTGCTTGTGGGTTGGGACTCAACCCAATCCATCTCATTCTGTATCCTTGTAGACTTCGGTCTTCTTTGTGCACGAACCAAATATGCATTTGGGATAATTGTTGGACCATCTATTTCTGGAATCAACAACTCATTACCCATTGGATACCAATGTGCAGCATAGACCTTCTCAATTTGTGTAATTGAGAACACAGGATCGAGATAGTCATAGTTGTTCAATTTTTCAACCTTGCACACCGCTAGCACATGACTGCAAGGAAATCGTCTAGCTGTGAACCGTCCACATTGACATTTACGATTTAGCAAGTCAACCCTCATAATGTTGCCGGCATCATGCGTAGATTGATTATAGGCATCCTCAACTTCAAACAGCTGCAAGTCTCTATCAAAAACACGAACTCGGAGACTGACAGTAAACTGATCATTCTTTTGTAAGAAGTCCTCAACCTTTTTTGCTATTCTCTAGCCTTTTTCCTTTGCTTTTTGGATCTTTTCACGCCTCTTGACAAAATACTCAACAAGTCTACTTTGCGTCATCTTGACCAATGTCGTTACTGGCAAATTACGTGCACCCCTTAGGACCTTATTGATACATTGATACACTCAGATAGGTTAGTCGTCATATGACCAAACCTTCGGCCCTCCTCATCATAAGACCTGCACCATGGTCAACACGGAGTGGTGGCATAACCTGGGAACTCAGGTTTCCTGCACTTGTATCAGCGTCAAAATTTCCCTCTACGTTCGTATCTGAGGTGTCACCCAGCAGAATAACACTCTCGGGTTCACCGTCGTCTTCACTGTCCATATCCTCCTCATGCTCATCCTCATCTTCGACTATTTCCCTTAGTGTTATCTGACTTAAGACAGGTGCAGGTGTAGATAAACCGACCACTCTGTCTTCTTGACTTTGACTTCTTTCATGCATAGGTGCAGATGAAGATTGACCACAGTCTATTTCAACATATATCTCAATAAAGTTTTGAAATTTCGGTCCACAATTGCATCTTTAACATATTCCACATCTTCATCGTCACATATATCATTACCAATGTAGAATATAGCATCCTTACCAACTGTAGACTCTACCCTGGCGATCATTCGTTGAACGCACTGGCTGTCTTGTAGCCCCAATTTTTGGTGAATCCTCCCTTTCAGCTCATTGTTCGTAGTGCCCCGTTTGATTTTCAACATTTTCGTTTTTCCTTCAAATTGAACACCGTTGGGGCCTTTATAACGCTTTCCATCATAGTAGATCATTGTAATATACATGTTTGGGTTTGAGCTCATCTTTCACACGAATTTGGGGGTAGGAATCAGATTTTAGGGTTTTGGGTTCGGATTTGGGGGAAACAAATGAGAAAATAAAGGGAATGACAAAGATTTCACGATTACTATGATTTAGAGATGGTGGGATGAAATGGAATCGTTATTTGAAGGATCATAGCTGAAAAACAAGAGATAGAGGGGGTACAAAATGAAAATATTGCAAATGAGACCGAGAGAGAGCTGGATATAGGGTTTTGTGCGACTTTTAATCGACTGAATAATGTCCTTAGTCGATTAAAAGTGCTCGAAATGTAGTCGATCAAGGTGAGAATGTAGTCGACTAAATCTCGTGATTCATGTTTTCTGAATTTTGACCATTTAGTTGATTAAAA